GTATTCAACAAATGATGAATGAAAAACAATCTTAATGGAGTAGATGTCAGTCCTAGGAAAAAGGCAACTTGGTAAACATTCTTGGATGAAAGATGTACATTTCCTAGCAACAAAGTCTTAACACTATTGCCTGGCACATAAATACACACAAAATACACACACACGGAAGACAGATGTTTGAAGTACTGTTGGACCTTCATGCTTCATTTTCCAGATACCTTCTTTTCTTATTCACATTCTCCTCATGTTTGGATGGCACAGATCACTTTCCCTGTGATCTCTGGTAGCTGCTGCTTGTCCTACTGAAATCACCCCTCTGCACAGCATTGCTTACTGAGTTCAAACGTGCCTTGTATATTAAGGACACATGAAATTTGTGTTCTATATATATATGAGTGTTCAATATTTGTTGAATGCATGCCTAAAAGGAGACCGGCTTATACCCCTCAGCCATGAAAATAACAGCAATGGAGAAAGAATCATTAGTGTCAGAACAGAAAGCTTTCCTATACTTCAAGATGGTCCTGCCACAGGTTAGTACCAAATGTGAGTGTTCCGTACTGCTTTCCTCATACCTACAACACCACAAATGCACTCTACATTGACTTTCCCTAGTTTGGCACATTCTACAGTATCACTGAAAGTTAAGGGCTGTTTCCACCTTACGTTATATGATTTAATCGACATTAATGTGGGGGAAAAAAAGCCTTATGATATTAAGCTGTGAAAGCCAAAATAATAACGTGGGCCTGGGGGCTAGAAATTATTTTCTCCAAGATATATTGCTTTTTTTAGTGCTTTGTCACCAGTAAGAAAAACCTTACGATTTTCTTTTCCAAGAAACACAAAATAGTTAATTGAATATGCACGTTAAAAAAAAAAGGAGGAAAAACTCATTTAGAAATGACCTACTTCATTCTTATGAAAGGATTTTTTAATGTGTTTCAGAATTTGGCCCTATAGCTATTCATTTCTTATTCTAAGGTGATTTTAATTTTTTTTTAATTTATGGCTGACGCATGCACTGAATGACCTATAGGTTCATCTCCTCCTGGCCTGAATTTTATATTTAAGCTGCTAAGTGTGTGTACAATTGAGTGCTGAGTCCTTTCTGTGGTATTCCTCATCAAGCATCTAACCCAATACACAGCTAGGCAGGAACATGACAACAACCATACTCATGAAGAGAAATGTGATTCTAAGGTGATGACTGGAAAAAGACTGACTCAAAGGGGAGAGACTGACCTTTGGGGGATAGCCGATGTTATCATCAAGGACAGAAACACATAACATCATGTATACCCAGTGCAAAGCTGAGGAGGTAACTAGGAAGAAAGTTAAACTAAATGAAGCAGCTTTCTTTTCTATCTACTGGCACATATCTTCACGAATGAAATGACATGGACTACTTGACATTCCAAAAGAAGCTGGTGAAAGAAAGAAGAAAGAAAGAAAGAAAGAAAGAAAGGAAGAAGGAGGAGAGAAAAAGAGAAAGACAGAGAATGAGAGCTTTCAAAGGCCCACATAGAACAGAGATGTATGGTTCAGAGCATCAACAAAAGATAACAAAGACACCACTGGATCTTATGGCGAATTGAAGTGAGACTCTGAATGGCTTCCTAATTCAATCCTATTTCTCAAGTTGTGTTTTTAATGATACCAATGGCTTATCAGTTGTAAACTATAACTAGGGCCAATTGACATGGCTTGGTGGCTAGTAACTTTCCATGTTTACTCATTGCAAACATTTCTCCCTAGTCAAGATTTCCCTTTGTTGTGTGCCTCACACAGAAGTCATTAGGCAGGCAACGGGAGATAGCTGCATTCCTCTACCCACCAGGTAGGTGGGCAATAGATGGGGCATTCATTACAATTCCTCCCTTTTAAGGGTCTCCTGGATGAAGCTTTAACATGTTTTGATGGAGTCATGTGATCTGGAACAGTCTGCCTCCTCTAACACGGGGAACAATTTGATTATCTTGGCTATGGAACATAAAAGACAGCATCGAGAATACTTCCTTTCAGAGAAATCAGAAATCAACTTTGACCTCTCAAAATTTACAAATATTTTTCTATTGCATTGTACATTTCTCTGGTAGTGAAGAAACTCTGTCCTGGGGAATGGGTTTCAGTTATTGCATCTGACTGAGAGAAAAGGATGATTGTGGGCTTAAAAAAAATCTGGCTTTATGTGACAGTCACTGGATTTAGCTGTTGAAGCTTTTAAGGCTAATGGTGGCTGTAATGTACCAAACAGTAAGGAGAGAAGAGGAGTGGAAATTAATTTAGCTATCCATTTGTCAGGAATTCAGTCTGTAAGAGTTTTTAGGAACCAATCTAAATTTAGAGACCTGGACCTTTAAAATGGGACTCAGAATCATTTGGCTCCATAACCTTTAATCTGTTTGGAGAAAGGAGCAAATGTTAAATTCTACAAGTGTGCTTTCTGGGCAAGATAAATATATATAAGACTACTTGTGAAGACACAGGAAGCCTGGAAGATCACATCCATTAAGACAACAGATTCCACAATGTTGTTTTAGTAGCAATTTAACTACTCTTGGGTGTGCCAGTGAGAATCTGGGCATTCATTACCGCAAATGCATTTGGTGTGTAGAGAATTCAACTGCTAACATCGAGGGGCTAAAGTGCATCTATGAGATCATCTTACATTACCTTGAGCTAGGGCCAGCTGCAGAGAGCTGGAAGCAAAGACAAATCTCTGTTTAAAGGTACCTTTGTCATGGGTAGAAATATAGCATTGTTTATTTTCAAAATTTCTCCTTAAATGAAGTCTTTGCAACCAGAGCTGTGATAGCAACTGAGTTGTAAGTAGGTAAGGACCCAAGATTAGCTTTCCTTTGGAGTGAAAGATTTAAGGTTTATGAACTGGGATGATACTGTTGGCTGGCTGTGACAGAGAGGAGCCAGGAAATATTAAAGGTCTTAATTTTTTTTTTAAAGCTTGAATTTGTAAGAAGACCAACCATAAATGAAAATATGCTGGCCCATGTTGAAGACAAATGGGGTGTTTGTATATTGCCTTAAAACACAAACCTGGATAACTCCCAAGATGACACTTTCTACCATGAGAGCTAATAAAAACTAGGTCACACTTGGGCAACTTCTGCAACAATTGATGGGCTCGTAAGGGTTCACACACCCAGAATCAGGTGATGTCATTTACTCTGACATCCAAAGGGTTTTCTAGAAGTAGCTTTATAAAACTGGTAACAAGAGCACAGGCCTAAAGGACTGTGGATTTAGCTCAAGGGTAGAGCACTTACCTAGCATGTCCAAGGCCCTCGCTGGGTTTGATCCCAACAGTGCTTGAAACAAAACAAAAACCCCTACAAGCCTAGCTCAGCTTCTAAATAGATAACAGGTAATAAACGGCAGTAGGTAAAACCTGGTTATTAGGATGAAAAGGACTGGGGTTGTAGCTCACTCAATAGGGTACTTGCCTAGCATGGGTTGGATCCCCAGCACTGCCCTAAACCAAACTAAACCAAACCAAACCAAAAGTCCCTACGAGCCTAGTTCAGTTTCTAACCAGAAGAAAGGCAATCAATTCGTGGCGGGTGAAACCTAGGTCTCAGTATCAAAAGTTGACAGTGCAGTTGTTCTGGAAGTCCCAGTCAGGAAGAAATGCCTTTGGTTTGCTCCCGAGTGATAGAGAAAATGCCAACAAACTTGAGTTTACTTAAGAGGCAGGAACTAATAACATAGAGCTAAAGCAGAAACATACAGACAAGAATTAGGAAGCAAATTCTCTAGGTTGAGTTGGTTTAGAGTGAGACACAAAAACCAATTGATGGATTTTCAGAAGTTTTTAAATTCAGTGTAGGCATTGATGGTTGCTGTGACCAATATTTAAGAAAATCCTCAATAGGGACTTAAGTGTTCTCTTTGTCCTACTGTAATAGAAAGGTGGAGAAAACTGGGATTAGACAATCTAGGACTGTGTCTCCTCAGGTGATGAGGCCTCTTCCTTCATTGAGCACTTTGGTCATCGCTATTTCCCCAACTCCTGTGCAAATGGAAAATGTCTCCAGAAAGTCAATGCAATCCTGGAGGGCAGGTGCTAAAGAGAAGTTGAACGTGAAAAGAGATGATTGTGAGACATTCGGTGTTTATGAAGAAGTCTGGGGTGGGATGGAACACCGAGTGCATGGTTCACAGAGACCTTGCAGGCTTGTCAAGACAACAGATTCAAGTGGAAAAATTACCTTGTTCAAGAGATACTCTCCAGCCTCAGAATAGTTTTTATGTGTTTCTGAGGTTGGACATTTGTAGATGGTGGTTGGGAAGGCCCGATCTAGTGAAATCCTGCATGTCAAGTTGACATGGTTTGGCTTTGGTAGGCAAAAATAAGCCCAGGACTCTCAGACAACCAACACCAAGCAACAGGAGAGCCATGGGATACCAGGAGAGGGACATAGGACACCCTACCCCTGCTCGGTGACAATTAGAAAAGAGATGATGAACTAGAGTCCTCAGCAGGAAAAAGCCACGGATTTCCTCCAGCCTCCCATGAGCAGGCAGGCTGAGTTACTGCTAAGTAGGGAGAAGACCATGCACTCAGTAGCGTGGCCAAGTAGGTGTGATCCACTACAGGACGTGGATTAAGATGGAACGTGATCCAAAGCCACAGTACTTACCATCGCATCAACCACGGCTAAGCAGAAGCTACTCGCATTCAGTAGCCAGGCTGACATTCCTTTAGATTCTGCTTGGAATGGTGATGTATAAAAAAAGAATCCCCTCGTGGGTAAGCCGCAAAATAGCTGATAAATGCTTGGATGTTAAATGCTTGGATGTTTAATCTTTTCTGAAGTCCTTAAGACTCAATTTAAGAATCTAGTATCCGTCCTTAGCGTTCCCAAATAAAGGAACAGTGAAATCCCAAGGACGTAAAGGGAAGTTGTGGCCTCTTTTTATATATACCAGAAAGACAATATACATTCAGGACATTTTCAATGGCAATGAAGGTACCATACCTGTGATGATGGTAAGGATGGTGGTGGTGGTGGTGGTGGTGGTGGTGGTGGTTGTTGTGGGAGGAGGGATAGTTGTGGGGGGATCTGGATAAAAAAAAAAAGGAAAATCAAACCCACAATGCTGAACACAACAATGGTCAGTAATGACAAAACAAAGGCATGAAGACATTGAGATGTTTGATGACTTCCCCCTTTAAAAACAAAAATCCTTTTCACCCCCAAAGATTTAGGTTTCGTACTCGTATTTCAAAGCTGTCATTGGAAGAGCTAAGGAAAGAAAAAGTGAATCACAGATGAGGAGATGGGAAGTAGAGAAGTGAGGAAAACCAGAAACGCATGACACCTCCGCCCCATCAGATCTTAAAGGTAAGGCTGGTTCACCTCAGTGCTAAGTGGGTACAATGGCTGTCATTTCGCTTCTGCTTTCACAGATGGGAGGAAAGAGGAGGAGAAGGTGCTGCTGTTCAGCTAAAGGACTCCTATCAGCCAAGGATGAACGTGGCCCTGCGTGCTAGTTCTCTGCCATGGCTAACTTCATTATTCTCCATCAATACATCTCAGCAGGAAGTAAAACTACTTCTATACTTGTAATAAATACAAAGAAGAGAGAATGTCACCATTAAATATCAAGTTCCAGGCCTGTGAGATTTTTTTTTAACTGAGATTTTACTTTTTTTTTAAAGTCAATAAAATTTTACAACTTATAAATATTAATAAGTTGCCTTTGCTCATGTTAAAAGCTTGACCTAAGTGGACCACAATGATAAAACTGAAAGAACATTTTCCATCTTGTAAACAAGACAGCTAAATATAAATTAAGGTTTGACCCTCAAAGCCAGGGGCCCGATGGGGAATCCTCTGTCTGATATTTGATACACTGTATATTCTTCTATCCTCTCAAAAATTATTTGGGGATAAAGGAAGGGCAAATATGAAAGAGAAAAAAAAATCTAAGCCCAAATGATCAAACTGAATGTGTTAAATTGTCAGCAAGACTTTGAACTAAGCAATCATTCTGCTATAGCAGTGCACAAGATGATTTGAAGGCTTTTGATTTTAAATTTTATCTAAAGCACGTCAACTTTTTCTCCCTAACACATCTGGTATCCTTTTATCTTCAAGTGAGCTCTCGGATTGTCTAATTAATACATCAAAACTTTAATTATATATTGCACCTTTACTGGATTTGGCACAACTTCCTAAAAGTTTATGAAACCATGATTTTGATGGTTGGTTGCAATATTTGTATTTAAAATGATTGCTAGAAAGCTCAGGTTTTAAGTTTCCTCACAAACTGCATCTCTCACACAAATATGCTTATATGAATTTGATAAGGAAGCATCAACAGCATTTTTTGTGTGTAAGAAGGTGCCTGTTCTGGGGCTTGGGTGCTGTCTCTTAGCATTTTCATTCAAGGCTATGCTCTACCACTTGAGCTATAGCTCTACTTCGGGTTTTTTTTTTTGGTCTCCACCAAAAAAAAGCATCTCATAGACTTTCCTGCCCACGCTGGCTGATCCTCATACCTCAGCCTCCTGAGTAGCTTTGATTACAAGTATAAGCCGTGGATGCCCGGGCTAAATGGTTCTGTTTTATGAGACTTTGCTCCTTGAAGGTAGAGTGTACAGAAGGTAAACTATTGATTAATGTAGCCTCATGTGAGTCCAAAAAGGAGTCCATAAAGAAAATCTCATTCTCCTCTAAGTAGAAATGATTAAATGAGTCGTTTTAAACTATGTTTTAAAAAGACTTTGTTTTGTTTTACTCCTTGGCATTTTCTATAGAGGCCGTGGGCAGGAAGACATCTTGTGACTGGCAACTTGTCTGGATGCTTCTGCTGCAGGTACTAGAGCAGAGATGAACTCAGAGCACTAGATGCTGAGCCTCGCACTCAGGACACTCTGCTCCCTTCATGGTCTAGCTCAGCTGTGTCTAGTTGATTGACTGTCCCCGCCTAGGACAATCAATGTGATTTATCTGTTGTGCATCTACTACAATATGACCACTGAAAAGGCCATGTGTAACCTGGAAGGCTTCCCTGACTTAGTATCTTGCCACGTCTGTGCCTAACTTCTACATGCATTGGCACAAGGATATGATTACTACAATAAGTGTAGCTCTGAATGACATTTGAAAATATGGTTATGAATTGACAGTGGACAAGACTAACAAGGACACAAGACTTCAGAGAGAGTCCCTCATGATGTGAAAGTATAAACACTTTGAATTATCTTCAGCATTACTGGCCAACTGTTGTCTACATCTGACTCCAGATTCTATTAATGGCAGAATCTCCAAGCTTAGATCATTTCTAGGCATAAGAACTATGTAAGGCTATTATTTAAGAAATAAAGAGGGCTGGGAATTTTGTGGGTCAGTGGTAAAGCATCTGCCTAGCATGTGTAAGGCCCTGGGTTCAATTCCTAGATCCCTAGCAAAACATATATACACATAACAGAGAAAAAGAAATACAGGGCTAGAGTTAATGGACTGTGATACAGAGAAGTTAAAAGGACAAAACCAAATGGGGTTCAGGTACTAACCAGCTAGATCCTTCAAGTACAGAGATTACTTCCAGAGAATTAAACATTTCAGAAGCACATCAATTTTCAGTTCATAAAGTACTTCAGAAATTCCTATAGTAGTACAATAAATTAGCTTTGGAAAGAAAATGCACCCATCATCTTCCCAAATTGCTAGAATATTTCATTAAGAGATTAGCAATGTTTCAGGCTAGTGTTCTAGCCTGTCATTCTAAATATTTCTAGTAGCACAGATCAAAGAGATAGGTAATAAAATCTATTGAATCTTAGGCAAGGACTGGTGGACTATCTTGGATTTGTGTGTGTGTGTGTGTATGTGTACGCACACACACGCATGCACACATGCCTAATCAAGTAGGGCCCTATCATTTTTGGTTTTCAAATAAAGACTATGTCCCAGAGAGTTAATTATGAAAGTATAATCTGGAAATTGTGTGAACTAGGGTAAAGTTGTATAATCTTTATTTTATGTATCTATTATTTTATCATTTGTACTATACTGGGGTTTGAACTCAGGGCCTCGCATATGCGAGACTGGTGCTTTACTACTGAGTTGCTCCTTCCTGGCATATGCCTGGACTACCATCTACCAACTTTACGCTTCTAATGGTTTCTGGGATCACAGGTGTGTTACCACAGTATTCAGCTCCCTTGGTAGGCTTTTCTGCTCAGGCTGGCCTGGAACAGTGATCCTCCTATGTAGTCTGAGATGACAGGCATGTGCCATTATGTCAGAGCTGTGAGTTGGGAAGGGGTCTTGTGAATATTTCTGCCTCAGTTAGCTTCAAACTGCAATCCTTCTGATCTCCGCCTCTCAAGGAACAAGGATCACCACAATGAGCCACCGGTGCCCTGCTAAAGTTGTGTGATAGTTTTAAGCTTCATTTTATTATCTGTAAAATGGACAATATGCTTACCTCATGTGTTTATGGTGGGGATTCAATGTGATAATGTATATAAAATTGTCACCAAAGGGCACAGAATCAGTGATGACAAATTACTTTTTTTAAAGTTTGTTGATCAAGTCCTTGAAATGTGTTTTTTGGAGATACAGATAGTAAGTCCAATGAGTCAAAACTGCTTATCCAGATGACTTAGGTCTTCTAAACCAGACAAGCATATATATATATATATATATATGAGCCTGATGGGAATTTGTCAGTGCTTTGTATAATCTGTGCAAAGTCTATAACTTGGATATCAACAAAGTAGACAACTCACACTAGGCTCACACATCAGGAGTTTAAGGGGAGAAATTGATCTTCTACCCCTGCTAAACAATCTGAGGGACAGAGGTGGCTCTGTGTATTGCCATTTAAAAACAGGGCACATGGAAACCCCATTTTCACCTGCAGGCCACAGCCATTTCCTTCCTGTGGGTTTTCTTCACTACTTGGACGGTGTGGACCATCGACAATATGGGCAGTGTCTAAAGAAAACAAACTCCCAGTCTACCAATGTGGTGATTTGACATGATCTTTTAATTTCCCATTGTGTTAGGGAATGCCAACCCTGAGGTATAGACCAAGGATTATATTTCAATATCCATGTAAATAAGGTGTAATGCATGCTTCTATTTGATTTAAAAGACTTTTTTTTTAAATTCATAAGGGAGGCGGCCAGCTTCTAAAACAGTATGGTGCAAACATCCCCTATGTATAATTTATTTATCTATGCACATATTCACATATTCCTTACACGTGGACCATTTACATGGCTAACATGGAGACTGAAATTCCTCTTTCCCATATTCAAATATTTATAACATTGAAATTTTGATGCCTCTGGTTATTCATTCTGTCAGATCAGTTCATGACTTTTTCTTGGTAGAAAAACTAAGAGATGCCAATTGGGCAGAGGAGACTCACTCCTATAGAGGGAATGCATACCACAGCTAAACAGAATAATCACTACTATCTACCTACCTATCAGAATTCTATCTATCTATCTATCTATCTATCTATCTATCTATCTATCTATCTATCTATCTATCTAGCTAGCTAGCTAGCTAGCTAGCTAGCTAGCTAGCTAGCTAGCTAACTATCTGTCTATCTCTCTGAATACTATCTATCTATCTGAATACTGTCTATCTATCTATGAAAGCAATGCTGATGCTGGGCACATAGTAGATGCTTTGTATTTGTTGATTAGGGAATAAAATTTACGATATACTTAAAAAATCCTGTGGAAATATGATTAGGAAAACACCCATTTTAAAGAAAACTGTCATATTTGAGTAGCTGTAGGTAGTCTAATGGAGCTCTAGGCTTTTGTGTTTGTTTCGAGTGTTTACTGGCTTGCAACATCTTCTGGAATTAAATAGCTTCATGCTGAAGTAGGATAGCTCTGCTCCTCAAAACAGTAGGATGGGCTGGCCCAGGTGTCACAGGCAAACACCACTGGGAATAAACTTCCCGAGCTGAAAGCCACTAATTGGTAAGATTGAGTGTTTCAGTCATTACTTCTAACATCATCTCCGTGGCCTGTGCCAGAGGACAGCTTTCCTACTCAGCATGAGCGGTGACTGTGATTGCATGGGAAGTCCCTCTGATTAGCAAGAGAGAAGAAGAGACACTGTGGACTCAGGTGGAGATACTGTGCTCTGCCTCAGGCCGGGCTCCTTGAAGTTCTTCAAGTAACCACGTGGGTTTTGGTTTTCAACTTGACCAAAGGCTTGGGAGTGAATTCCTAGCTGTGGCTGCATCAGTGGAAGTGTTTTATCTGCTCACGTACCGTATACATACAGCATATAATCCGAATGAGCTTTCCCCACTACGTTGGAGGCCTCACAGCGGTATGTACCATTATCTGTTTTGTTTAGGTTATTGATGAACAGGTTGGGCCCGGACAGGACGGCGTGCTGAGGCATCTCATCATCGACTCTCACCCAAGTTACCATCACAGGCCTGCAGGGGAAAAGAGAGGACAAGCCACCCTATTACATCCCAGTCAGATATCTACATCCAGACCTCACTCACACAGTCAATAAATCACATGTGTCTGACACAAAGAGGGCCTACTAGAGACCCTGTAAGTTATCACCAAGAAGTCTCCAAAACTTTGTCTGGAATAGATTTTTAAAAAGAATATGATCAGCTGCTGAAAGATCTTCAACGGACCATAGGCAGGAGTCTTCTTTCCAATTCATCTTTAGTAAGTGAACAAGGAAACTGGGGTGCCCTGCTCTTCATGCCCTGGTAGGTAGTTTCACACCAGTTCAGGTAGGACAGCTTAGTTAATATTAATCATCTCATTAGAAAGAAACAGATCAAGTTCTTGCCTAGTGATGTAAAAGCATAAATCTGATGGTTACCAACACATCAAGAGAGAGTTGTTTTCTTACAGAGGCACTGGTGATATTTAAACAGATACTGATTTTCATCAAAAAGAAAAAAATGGCACTTTCAAAAATCCTCTCTGATTCTAGAAAGATAGTCATTTCTTCTCCTCACCAAAGATCCACCGTTTTTGGACTGCTCTACCTTGTGTAGCTGTTCCATGGCTAACAAGTGGCTTTCTCTTCTGTCTCTTCTAGCCACAGGCATTGCTGGATTTCCCCCAGTGGGAACAGTGGGAGCCCTCCAGGCTAGAGATAGGAATCTAATCCTCCCCTCCCAGAACATTTCTACAGGTTTTGGAGGCTCTATAAGGTTTCTGACTCATTAGAAACAAGTTTATTTTCATGATTGAAAATACTCCATGTGTCCTCATATACTCATTAGGAAAAGAAAATTCACAAGATGCTCTGGAGACAAAAATGCCCCCATACCACATTATCCTCCAAACGTACAGAATGTGAACTTTCTGTTCTTCAAGGAGTCTCCTTCAACTTCCAATGAAATGGAAGTCACATCTAAAAGCATGTGAATACACATAACGCATCTGAAAACTCATATGTGTGCACGCACAGTGCTAGCAGTCTAACTCAGGGTTTTGCATATGGTAGGCAAGTGCCACACCTCTAGTCTCAAACTTTTTCCTCAGAGGGAGGATGACAGAGGTTGGGGCCCAGACGGTAATTTCCCTTTAGTGCCTACCAATACATCGATACATCGAGAAACAGCGACACAACCAAGACCCATGTTTAAGAATGAATGGATATTCCACTCAGCCCTGGCCAGCAGCATGTCAATTTTCAAATAGGATGTGAAGTCACCATTTTTCTTTAATTACACATGGGTTTGTCATTACGAGTCTGTGAATTATTTAAGAATTAGTACTGCATATGTCCTCCTTGTAGGCAGTGGCCAATGGGTCTGTGTGGCAATCAGAGCGAATGTCCTGCTGTTTGACAGCTGAAACAATCGCGAGGGTAAGTGCTGAGAATATTCACAACATTTAATGGCAAGTTAAATTACCATTTTTATTGTATGCAATTTCTTGAGAAAATAAATAGGTAATATGCTAGGAGGGATAGCAGCGGAGTAATGCGTGCTTGCTCACGCAACCATATACCCGTTCCTATCTGAGAGGAACAAATAAAATGCCCTCTCTGGTATAAATGTCCTGAAGGAAACGTGTAATTTACTGTCCCCGTGGCACATTCAATTGAACACAGTGCCTTCTTCAGGGGGAAAAAATACAGAAACAAAATATAGGTTAGCAAGCCATATACTGTAAGTGTGGTTAATGTGGCTGAATACAGGGATTGTAAGAGGCCTCTGAGAATTTTGTTTCCCTCCACTAGATTGTTCTGGAGGAAAGGTAAGCTGATAATTAGGACATATACCAAACAGTTCACACAAAGAGAGACCTGAATCTTTTTGCAGTGCTCAAAAGTGAAAAAGACCATTCTGTCAAAAGCCTGAAGTGTTTAGATCCAAATAACATGGGAAAGCCAGAGGAAAGGAGAAACGAAACCTAGAGTAGTATCTACCACCTAAACTCTAAATGGTTTGATACTGGAAAATGTGTTCTTTTTTTGGGGGGGGGGCAGGTGTTCAGTTGTGGGGCTTGAGGTATCCCTGAGTTCTTTTGTTCCAGGCTAGGGTTCGACCTCTTTGACCTACAGTGCTACTTCCAGTTTTGGGGTGGTTAATTGGAGATGAGAGTCTCATGGACTTTTCTGCCCCTGCGGGCTTTGAGTAGCCTCCTTAGTAGTAGCCTCCTGAGTAGCTAGGATTACAGGCATGAGCCACCAGCTGAGAGAAAGCATGTTCTAGTCCAGGAAGAAATAAATACAAAAATGGGGAGGGGGCTGGGAAGGTGGCTCAGTGGTAGAGTGCTTGCCTTGCATGCCTGAGGCCCTGGGTTCGATTCCTCAGCACCACATAAGCAACAAGAAAAAAGCCAGAAGTGGCACTGTGGCTCAAGTGGTAGAGCGCTAGCCTTGAGCTGAAGAGCTGAGGGACAGTGCTCAGACCCAGAGTTCAGGCCCCACGACTAGAACCCCCCCCCCAAAAATGGGGAGGGTGGAAGCCTGGAGTCTTGGCACATGCCTATAACCCGAGCTATTCAGGAGGCAGAGACTAAAGGATTCACATATAAGGCCAGCTGAAGCAAGAGGCTATAGTGAGACTTTCTCTCAAAAAGAAGCCTATGATAGGGGTTCACACCTAAAATCCCAGCTATGTTGTAGGCAGGAATAGGAGGGTCATGATTTGAGGCCATCCTGGACAGAAGAATGAGATCTTCTCTGAGGAAAACAAAAACATAAATCCTTAAAAATATGCAAAACCCAAAAAAGGACTGGAGGTAGGGGCTGGAGAGAGTGTTTCCTTAGTAAGCTCAAAGTCCTGAGGTCAACTACCAGTGTCTAAACAATACTGAACAACCAGGAAAACAGAGAGGGTGGAAATGCAGAGAAAGATCCAGCAATCTCGAGTCTTAGCTGTCACAGGGAGATTTCTTTCCCAAGATTTTGGGGGAAGCTTCATTAAGATGCAGTAAGCTCTTTAGAGGAATCCGGCGAAGAGGCCAGTTAGCAAAACCGTGTGAGGATTAAAAAAAAAAAAAAAAAGATGCATGCCAGAGGGACAGCAGAGGGAGCTCAATGCTGGCTTTTGTTGGGCACCAGAGAAAGTCCGAGTGCCCTCAATGCCATCCTGACCTGTTCTTCCACAGCACATACACTTCTCTTGGAGGGAATGAATGGGGAGGTCAAATAAAAGGCAGGGCAAATTTGTTTGGCCCTAAACACAGCAGCTTAATCTGAATCCAAAAACCATCTTTCTAGCTTAGACATGAATGCAGCAGGTAGCAGATATATTATTACATTGCGGGCACATTAAAATTTTATTAGGATTATTTTTGGTGTGAGAGAGAAAACAGTTCTGACAATCATCCTGACGACAATAAAATAGAACTAGCTGAGATTTTCATCCTAGCTGGCATTTAATTTTTCTCCTAATCCTGACGATGAACATAGAATATTCTCTCTTTTCTGAAAAAAAAATAAGATGCACATTCCATCCTTTCTGTAACAGGAGACAGGTGACAGGCCAATGAGTTGTGAATGCACATCTCTGTGTTATGACATTTACTGTTCATGACCCTCTGCCAACCTTGGCCTTCAGAACTTACTGGGGCTTCCCGATGGCTTCGCATGTTAACTCAAGCGCGTCCCCTTCCCGGGTTAGGCCTTGTAGAGGGTAAGTCATCTGAATATGCACTTGAGGCTTATCTGTGTGACAACAACACAAAGTACAATGTTTAGCCAATGATATCGTCAGGCAAAATCAGACTTGCATGCTGTCACAAACCCCACACCAGCTCTTTCCCCATCCTCATGCCTTCAGCAACATCCTTCTAATTAGTTAGTAATCCTGGCATTTGCTCAAATTAAATTGACTAATAACTCTAAGGAGTGAACCACGAATAGATAAGAGATTCATAAGCCAACTGTGACACATCAAACATTTCCTGTAAAATACATTTTGTTATGTTGAAGTTTATCTCCAAACTCACTCAAGCTAAAGGAAACTCGTCTGCCTTTGTGCTGAGGTGAAGCCACAGATATGTGTGGTGCTCAGAATTGATACAGTTTATCATATATCATATATTACCATGTGACAAGATGTGGTGACACTGCATATTAATGTTTGCCTCTTCTATGCTCTTGTTTTCAGATGGGAAAAGGGGGAAGTCCTGAATTTCACTTCAATGCCTCTAACAGGAAAGGAAGTGGGAGACAGACTCCCAGAGAAACAAACTCACATCTCGCCTAAATACGGAAGAGGAAAAACAACTAATGTTTACTCAGAGCCTAGCATGATTGGGGCCATCACTGGGAAGAGAACTCTGGTACCCACAGGATGAAGCAGCTACTCCGTGGTCTTAAGAGACAACTTAGTGAGAGCCAGACAGCGCTGTGGAATGCATACTGGGATAGATTTCTGATTCAAAACTACACTTCCCAATGGTATGTAGAGTTAAAGCCATGTATAGCTCCCTAATGCAATGAAGTATTTAGGACAGTAATGTAAATATTCTTATGTCCATCAGCCACTTAAAATGTGTGTGTGTGTGTGTGTGTGTGTGTGTGTGTGTGTGTGTGTGTGTGTGTGTGTGTGGTGTGTGTTGGGGGAGGTAAGGTATAAGATGAATGATGGGAGATTCAGGAAACTGGGAGAAAGGCTGACGAAGTTAATAAGAATGAACAAGGATAAATGTACAAATACATCTACAAATAAAGCCTGAATAGAATTAGGAGGCTTTTCTCCCCCACCCCCCACTGAACGACAAGCTACTAATCCCCAAGTCAGTTTCCTCATTTAATTCTGGGGCTCTATAAACATGTATTTTTGGAAATGTACCCAAGAGTATTAAGTGTGAGAGGGTAAGACATCAGCTGGCTAAGAGGTCGAAACAATTACCATAGTTTCACTTTCTCAGACAATCACACCACCTCAACAATAGCCCCTTGGCCTTTGACAAACAGCGGTAAGCTCATTAGCATTCATCCTATGGAATAAGAGAGAAGACAGAAATATAGCCAGGCTCAACCAATCTCACCCTGCACACAGCTATGTAAGCTGCAAGACCAAGTCCTCCCCAGGGCTAGCTGCTGCCAGATGCATTTTTATTGCCTTGTTCCTATCAAGGATCTTTTTCTAATACCTCTGAGAAGTATATGGCATTGACTTTAAGAGAGCCCCCCCCCCAATATCCAATACGTGCCCTGTGAATTGGCAGCACCTTTGGAGAATCTTGCTACTTGTTAGGGAATGGGATAAGCCCCCAAATTCCCACCAAACCCGTGCAAGGCACCCAGACCCATTCTTGAACTTGTTGGCCAAGAAAGACTTAAAAGCATGATGAGGATGTTTCTAGATATTGAAAGCTGTCTTAGATATTGTGTTAAAGGAAGGTAGAAACGGTCATGGAGGACATCAAGTTGACCTTGAACTAGTGCTGGCTGCAAGAGCTCCTGGGCCCTTCTATTTGAACTACAGACCACACCAGGGGCTAAATATCACCACAGGGCATACTGCATACCGCATGTCCTCCAGACATGCAGCTACTTGGTTAAAAGATACCTTGGCCTAAAGTGACAATAGCAACAGTAATGGGACATGAGGTAAAGGGAGGCTTTTATATGTGTGTATTTGTTTATACACATATATGTATATAGGTATATATACATATAATTTATATTACATATATGTAGACAGCATAATGGAAACCACCCAAAACTGAAAAAGGCGAGTAGGGAGAGGGAGTACACAGCTCAAAGTACACTGTGCACATCTATGGAATTATAACAATGGAATCCTCCTATAGTATCAATATATGCTAATAAAAATATAGAAAGGATACACCAAAATTAAGGAGAGAAGGTTATGACACGGAGCACACAAATTATGGAAGGCATGCTACCTCAGAACTCATATTTAGAAACCAAATAGCACTATGGGTTTCTGGTTGGAGGACATCTGCCATTCTTAACCAGAAAATGATCAGGCAAGGCTAAATTTAGAGCCCAAATTTGGGCTGCAATGTAGCATTTGCTCACAGGTTAATCTGTGATCCTCAAAAAGGCTACATTTTTCATGCACTGCTGACTTAGTCCCATTAATTAAGGAGAAGCAGAATGCTGGCTAGCCTATGTGGAAAGTTTCCATTGGTTTTCTTTCCCATTTCCTGTAATTTAAAAGCCAACAGAAAGAGTGTATTTTTCAGTACAGTGCACTAAGGGTTTTAATAGCTCAATGTCCATTAATAATAAAGAAAATGTTGAAGAAAATCTAATCCACCCTGCCTCTTCAGGACTACTGAGTTTGTTTTTAGTTCAACGCTTTTTTATGTTCCTAATGAGCTGTTTACCAGTTGTCAATTACACATATAAATCAGGAAAAACAAGCTAAGGGCATACCTGGAATTTGTATTTTAAAATATATTAAGCCACAGAAAATACACATCTAGTTTTGACAGCTGAGTATCCTGGTTTCCATGTTAGGTTTTTGGAGAAACAGCTACCATTTATGTGTGGGTATAGCTACCTTAATGGCTAGCCAAGACAGGAGACATTCATCTTGTATGTGGTATACAGAAAGATTTCCTTTTCATTGACATATGTGTATTTATGGACATATTATTTGACCATGGGCAACTGAGCTATCTTCCTACCCTATGAACCAGACAGACAGAGAGGGTCAAGGTGCCAAGATCTGTCCCCAAGGTGATGACAAACTTTAAAGCAAATTCTAAAAGAGGGTCTTTAGTATCCTCAACAGGTGAAACAGAAATCCTGGGATCCCAGTGAGTCCTCTAGAACTCAGGGCCATTACATTTTTCTGGGACAGACTCCTGACTACAACATGAGTAAGTCAAAATATCGGCAATCCAGATGGCTGATTGAATAGCCCAGAGCTCATCATTTCTATTTTAATTATGTTCATAAATCTAATGTTATCACCCACCAAATCTTTTCTGAAATAGAACCAGACTTGAAGATTTATCTTTAAGTAATGAAGTAAAAAGGCCTTAGTACATTTTCTGGGGGATCATTTTACGCCTCGGTTGGTGTCGGTAAGGCACAAGGCTAAAAGCCAGATGACACTTTCTACCCAAGTGCAATAACTGTCCAGAAATGTACTGCTCAGAATGGCTTAATGTCATTATAAAATGGAACTGCTATATAAAAACAAGAAAAATAGTTAGGTCTGTGCACTTACGGAACATTAAAGAGATGGCATCAGCACCAGCCAATCAATTAGGTCGAAGGATCTGAGGTTTTCATAACACTCTGATTTTTCTTTTCTTTTTTTTAAAACCCTTAAAAGACACTTACTTAGCAAGACTGCTACAGCAGACAAAATTTGTTCATTAGTCAAAGTTGCACAGAGGGTTAAATACCAGGAGGTTTTAGGTCACACTACAGTAGCAACCAATTAAAAAAATAATATTAGAAAGGCATTCTGATTTGATGAGAATTTCTTTAAATGTACTTTGCTCTCTCTATAAAGGGGAAACATATAAAAGGAAACTCTTAAAGAGGTTCGAATGGCTTGCTGGCAGATTACAATTGATTTCATGCCAGTCTGACCTTGCACCACATTCTATGATCTTTGCAGAAGATGAAACTCAAGATTCTGGAACCTGTATTTCAATTTCCTATGTAAATGAAAAGGCACAGTCTCCTCTCTGGAACACAACACTAACATACCAGGTCTTGGGGAAAAATTATTTTTAATTAAAAATAAAGTATTTTGCAGCTTCTTCTAGGATGTCATCCCTCCCACATAGCGAAGAACAGAAGAGCTAAGAAAGGGAAATGGTGCCCTAACATCCTGATCAGAGACCTATTTTCCCAGGGGGTACATTGGCCTCCTTATCTTTCTTCCAAAGAACATTTAGAGCTTAATGCCAGTGAGGTTTGTAATCCTAGGTACTCAGGAGGCTGAGATCTGAGGATTGTTGTTCAAAGCCAATCCAAGCAGGAAAGTCCATGAGACTCTGTCTCCAATTAACCAGAAAAAAAAAAAGAAGTGGAGGTGTGACTCAAGCGGCAGAGCAAAAAATATCTAAGAGATAGTGCCTAGGTCCTGAGTTTAAGCCCCTCCATAAAACGAAACTTCTAAATCAAGGAATGCTGGCATTAGCTATTTTCCCATGTACCCACTACAAGCAGGCCCAAGGGCTTGGGCGTAAATGGATTCCTGCAACTGCCTGTAGGATCTGGGTTCTCGATAGTCTCAAGCTTTCATCCCCTATTCAGGAAAACACCAAGTGTGAGACCTTCACATCTGTGGCACAAGAGTTTGCTGTTTTAAGACCTCACGGGAAAACCCAGGGCAGCTTGGGCTCTGCTATTATCAGAATGTTTGGGAGAGGAACTGGTCAGCACCTGTGCACTCTTCGCCAATCACAAAAGACGACTGGGAGTGGAAGGCAATGCAAAGAATACCCTGATGTTTGGTGCATATTAGAAGCTATACCAGGGCAACTCAAAAATTTAATCTGGCTGTCTAAATAGCTGCGAGAGGACAACTTTCTGACATTAGGAGGACAATAGCAAGCAGACAAGGAGATCAGGCCTGGTAAGGGAACGGGGTCACGCAGCTCTCAGAGAGGAGGGAAAGAACATTTTGTTTTCTATTGTCCTAAGATGTTAATGACTAATTTTCCCTGCTGTTATTTTGCTTGCTCTCAAGGTGAAGGACCCTCTACTGTTATACATGT